TTCACAACGAGGTGCTCGCTAAAGCCCAGTTTAAGCTGTTTTTATCTTTTACATAGTAAATTAAGAGAATAAAAGCCAAAAAAAGGCGGATTGTTTGTTTTTATGTAGGGGGAGTGTATCTATCTATTGCGATTTTAATGAGTGAGTATATTTTTTGTATGGAAATCCAGGAAGTGCTTGGATTCGTGTGTAAATTTAGAGAGCGTAGTGTTAGTAGGCGGTTAAGGAAGGTTTGGGTGATGTCTGAGTGAGAGGGGGTGGGGTTATGTCCAAAAGCCCTTGTGGTAAAGGCATTCCAGAGAGTGAATATTGTTGCTGATTGTGCGGAACGGAGGAGACGGAGCTGTTGTTCAGAGAAGTCAGGATGTGGGACGTGTGGAATTAAAATAATAACAAAGTCATGGCGAAAAATTGTGCGGGCATGTGATTGCCGAGGGGTGGTTTGCTCGGAAATCAGATGACTGACAGCAATCATTTGATTAATTACCCATAAGGTAATTGTTGTGGTGTTACAAAATACGATACTTTTTTTTTGGTATTAGCATTAATATTAATAATATTAAGATACTAAAGTAATATATGTTGTACTTTGTTTATACTTTGAACGAAATAAGTATTACCCTTATCCTTAACAAAGGAATTCTTTGTAAATACGGCCGGATTTAAGGATAAATCAAATATGCCGTCTCATCAGAAAAAGAATTTATTGTTATAATGCTGTCTTATATAATACTCGTTGTAGTCGATACTATAAAGACTTGTCAAAAAACAAAGAAGTTTTCGGATAAATTAAATATGTCGTCTCATCAAAAAGACTTTATTGTTATAAATGCTGCCTTATCTGATACCTATCGTAGTCGATATTATAGAGATTTGCTACAAAAACAAAAAATTTTTCATGTTATTTTTGTGTTGAAAGAAACCATCGATACTAATAAAAACGTTAAACTAACATGACAACGAAGAAATGTTTGTGCTCTAATTGTTTGAAATGTTCAGATAATCTTTGTAATTACTTGAATAAGTGCGAGACAAAGATCTGTCTTCATATCTTTTACAACAAAGTGAATTCGGTAAAAGCTTGTATAAAGGCGATGTGGAATTAATCTCAAAAGAAAAAAACCAAAGTACACTGATAAATACAATTCTACAATATATCCCCACGTAAATTTACTTCTACAAAAACCAAATTTGTGCTTACATTTTTATCTCATTATCAGCTATTACTATGTCGGCTCAAGATAATAATCAAGGTTGGACATTATCTTATGCTATCAGGATCAAAATTATTAATTGCCGTCTTGATAAATGTCTCAAACCTTTATTATTATTTATTTATGTTATTTAGTCATTGGCGATATCACATCCGATGCGACCAAATACTGCAAAAGTTGTAAAACCTCCAGAAAAGTCAGTGATTTCGTTAGAAACGGGGTCAGCAGACGAAAGAGTTTTTCACGTGTAATATTTGCTCATTGAATGCGAAGAAAAACCGATTGGAATCAAGCTCTATTACTATTGAACAAAATATGGATACATTAGATTCCGAAGAAATTAGACCGAGCAATGCGGAAAATGAAAATGAAAACGAAAACGAAATAAATGACGAAGACAATTATGATGGTCTTGTTTACAATGTCGGAGACATCGAAGTCGTAATAAAAGACGATTTTGCTAATAACGATAATCTACCAGTAAGTTTTAGTTTAGTAGTAGAGCTTGACGATGTAATGACCAGCGTAAATACAAGTTCAACAACCGCCAACCAAAGCTTGAATTCAGTGGCAATCGAAATTGCAAAGCATCTACAAGTGCAAATAAAAAAAGGATCGGAATATTATTGGGAAATTCGCAAAACCCATGTCAACAAGAAGGACGGCGAATTTACAGTGTACTTGGGTTGTACGCAGAGAGATGATCGTCAATCCAATCCCAATGAAGAATCAAGCAAGTATGAACGCGAGGTTAGACCGGCTATTCAACGTCATCAATGTAAAGGCAACATAAAAATGAAAATCGATCTCCTCCAAAGAAAGGCTAGAATCTCGTTCAGTCATCAAAGCAGTCACGAAAAGCCAACCCATAGAAACATTAATCTCTCCGACGAAGCTATAAATTGGATAAAAAATAATATTGGTTACGGCATACCTAAGGTTGAATTTTACAAGAGACTATCTAATGATGAATTGATTGACCCGGAAAAACATACATACCAACAAGTGTATTATTGGGTGGCAAAATTATCAAAAAGTCAATTTGTTACTGATACCAAAAATCAGCTTAAGTCATCCAAAAATTTCCTTGAACATTGTACGCAAGTGGATGGTGGTTATAAAGTAATTTATTATCTCGAAAACAATTTTGTAAGGGCTCTAGGGTTTACTACACCATTTTTACAGCTTATTGAGAGGAGTAACATCACTGAGCTTATTGTCGATTCAACTTTTAAGACAAATCAAGAACGCTTTGAACTTTTCGCTGCCATAGTCAATAATGGCGGATATGGCATACCGCTGGCATACCTGTACCTAGACACGTTTGCTCCTTTAGAAGACCTGCCGAACAATCAAAGTGATAACAGGATTCAAAATCGTGAGGGCGTACTTCGTGAATTTTTTTTTTGCTTTACGGCGTGAGAACGTATTTCCAACATTTGCCTTGGTTGATAAAGACATTGGTCAAACTAATGCAATAGAGGCTGCATGGGATGAGAGAACGATTGTGCAAATCTGTCTTTGGCATGTCGAGTATGCAGTAGAAAGAAAAATGCGAGAGACAAAAGAAAAAAACAGTCAATACACAATAAATGTAGCACAGGCGGCTAACAGCCAATTTAAATTTATCGATCCACAATGGCGACCAAGCAATAATGCAACAGTTTGTCCAGAAGAACACAGAAAGGATGTATTACTGATGATAAAAAAGCATGCACTCGCACATCCTTTGATTACCAATAAGTAAAGATACGTTTTTGACGAAAGAGCAGATATATTATCAAAGCGTACGAGAAGCGTATCAATTTTGCCGATCAAAAAATTTAGTACATTTGTGTGATACCTATGGTATAGTTGGTATCAACAAAAACATTGGGATCGTTTCGCTCGCGCATCATATCCACAAGCTCTTCCACTTGCTCGCACAACAATGATAGTTGAGTCGCACTGACGAGTGTTGAAGTACAATTATAAATACAGATATAATCGGCCGCGGCTTGACCAACTAACACAAATTATTACCATGCGATTGGTTACCGACCAAATAAAAATGTGGAGAAGATACTGTAAAAATCGTGAGAGGAATACTGTAAAAGAAAAAGTCGTGGATGATACAGATCAATATCACACCGATATAGAGACATGGGTTTGTTCATGTCCAGCATATTTAAGCCACCCCTACTCGATTTGCAAACATTTAGTGGCGATGAAAATCAGACTTAACCCTGGATTTATGCTCCTTTTCAAGGACATTATGCGGCGCCATGATTATCCATTTATCGATTTTTACCAAGAACATAACTCACGCATTCAAGTGGATAACACATCTTGGAACTACGTTCAGGAAAACGATAATCAATTTGTAGATGAGCCATTAGATGTAGCGAATACGAATACGTTAGACGTGAGCACCACTTATCGGCAGTCTAGCATTAGGGAAAGACAAGAGGCACTAACGAGGCTCAAATCATTAGTAATTCATGAGTTCGATCTAGCTGAAGAAAATATACAAAATGACAGGTTTTATCAAAAATTTATGACTCTTTTCAATCCTGTCATAAACGAAATAGAGGCTTGCGATAGAGTTCTTAATGCCAGGACACAACAGAGAACTTGGCAGCCGCCAAGGCATGGAAGTTTAACCTTTAATCTCAACTAAATTATTATTATTTTGTTTATTCGATTAATTTTAGCGTAAAATTTAAAGATCCATCCCTTATTATTTGCCTTGTGCTTCGATATCCACCAATTGCATTTGCTTGTAAGATGTAGATCTACGTATTTTGGAAATGATCAACGCAAAAACGCCTTTGGATTATATATACTATAGCTTATTGCTTATATAGCTTATGCAAGCTCACGGACAAAGGGTGTTTATATAGCATTTTTGTTTAACATACCCTCAACAAACTTTTGCAGGTAAACAATACTGTTGTATTACAATGAATAGATAAAATATTTGACCACCGTTTGCGGTCATTCCCGCTTACTTCCATTAAACGTTAAATTTGTTGCCAAAGGGCTATGTTGGCTGTTTTGACACCGTTTGCAGTCAACCGCTTACTTCCGTTAAACGTTAAATTTGTTGCCGAAAGGCTATGTTGGCCGTCTTACACACATCCTTACCATTACTACCTTCTACTCTTTATTTTTAACATTAAATTAAAAGAGACGCCCATCGAATATTGTCCAAGTGGTAGATATTCGCTTTACTATATCTGGCAAGATTGACGAAATTTCATGAACATGATTAGACTAAATTTGAATGACAAGCTAGAGCTTGTGTGTTAGCATTGAACCAATCATATTGTACCACTGATTGTGAACAAACGACTATACATTGAAAAGTAATGACAATTTGCCTTTATTTCTAAAAACTATGTTATAAAAACCAAATAAACTATTTATTCCTTCAAAGTAGTTACCATCATTGTCTATACGTCTTTGCAGCCTTTTTTTCCAACTCTCAAAACATTTATAATACTCCTCTTTTGGGATACTTGAAATGACTGCCTGAACACCCCTTGCAAGGTTTTCAACCTTATCATACCTCTTATTTTTAAGCTCTTTTTTGAGTTTAGCAAATAGGAAAAAATCACAGGGTGCTAGATCTGGACTATATGGTGGGTGAGGAAGAACATTGACTTTTTCTTGCTTTAAGTACTTAGGAACAACTTTTGAGGTATGTGGTGATGCATTGTCATGATGAAGCATGACATCTTGAACAGTACTTCTCTAACACATTTCCTTAAACTTTGAAAAAACTTCTGGTAGAATCTTGTTAGCATAAAGGTTGCCAGTAACAGTAGTTCCTT